GACTTCAGTTCCAAGTCAGATTGAAAAGTCCCACAGTCCTTAGGGTGCAACAGGAAAACAGATGGCAATGCCTATTCTTTAATGTCTTTCTACTGATAAAAAAAAAACTTGTCAGTTTCTAATGTTTAACAATCTGACAGTGCCAAAAATTTTGGTAAAAATAACTTTTCTCCAACCAAAAGTAGGATATATTGTATAAGAGATTATTATTCATTTATCAATTAGACTATCTAGCCACCTTTCTTTGTCCTTGAATTGAGCCTGAGAACTCAACTTTCCCTCTCAGATTAAAGTTACAATTAATGGGAAACACTAGGAAAATACTAAAACGTCAGGTGTTATCTCGAACCAAGTTGTCTTGAAGGAAGTTCTAAGAGATACAGTGCCCCTGAATGTCTCTGCACCACCAAGGAAAACCATTATCTTCCTAACAAAGCTTTCTGGAGAATCTGCTAATTCAGGTCCACTCACAATGTCTACAATATGCTGAGAGGAGTTACTAGCACCAGTTTCCTTCATGTAACCAATCATGCTGTCCCAACACCTATGACTATCTACCCTAACTGTCTTTCCTTACCTATCCAACTATGTCCTTTGTTCTCTTGAATTTCCCAAAACTAACTAATTACCTTGGGGTCTTTGTCACTGAGAAAAGCAACTGATTCAACTCACTGCTTACTGCTAGTCTAATAAATTGATCATGCTTGGACCTTTGCCTTTCTTACTTTATACTTCAGATGTAACAACATATCATGAAGAGGTTGCAAGCAAAATTACAGATTTTTCAACTAAAACTGACTGAGTATAGATGAATATATATTTTACATCTACCTGAACACAGCCAGCTAACATTTCATAGAGAATATGGGCACGCTTTTTCATTACTTGAACATTTGTCGTGGTGGAATCTGCACACTGGCCATTTTGAATTGGATTTATGAATCGATTCCTAAATTCCGTAACAGAACCAAGAGATTCTCTTTGACAAAATTAACCATACAGTGATCTAAGAGAAGAAAAATAAATTGTCATTGCAAATATATCACATTTTATTCAACCAATTTTATATCATTAATGCAATAATGATGAATAAAGTTTTTTTAAATAAATGAGATCTGATGAAATGTGATAATTCAATTAGCACTTGCCAAATAATTATTTAACAATCCAACTATTTTTGAAGATGTTGGTAAGCACATTTTTTAGAAATAGTTCAGAAAATTTAATGATAAGTAAAACTTTAATAATATTTTTAAAACACAAAGACATAATTTAAGACAAATTTTAACAGAAATAAATGTTATAATAATTGAAATAATTCAGACAAGTTAATAAATAAAAGAAAAAAATTCTAAAAAGACTGTAGGTAAAGAGATTAGGAACATAAATCATATCCATGCTGAAAAAATAGCTCAAAATAACTCAAAAGAGGACAGTAACTTACATTCCGTTAGATTATTTTGTAGAGGTGTTCCTGTTAAAATAATTCGTCTTTTTGAACGAATCAAATTGATAGCTTTGGATACAGCTGAAGCTTCATTTTTTAGTATATGACCTTCATCACACACAACAAAATCCGGGCCTACCAAAAAATTTTTTACTATTATTTAACTCTCACAAAATTTGTATCAACTAATGCTCATCTAAGATCAACTGCACAATGGAGCAATGCTTAAATATTGAAAAGCTATGCTAGAGAGCCACATTTGCCAAATGAGCAGAAATATCAATGGATTAAAAGTAAGAATATCTTAACTAAGGCTTATGCATTATCTAACCAAGAACATGTCATTTAAAGTTTGTTTGTTTCATTTTTTAAAGGTATCTTTTAATTTTTGTACCACATTTTCTGATCTATTCAATCATCCACAAAAAAATCATGCCTGAAAACAGAAAAAAATTGCAAAGTCATCTATCATATGAGTATTCTTTTCCTTAATCCCCACCTCTCTACATAGAGGAAGGATATGTGCCTGTCTCATCATTTGTCCACTTGAATCAGTATCTGTCATTGCACTTTGCATTTACTTATTTATAGCAATGGACAGATTATTTTACTGGTTCTATTTACTTTGCCAATTGGTTGGCATACCATCTGTTCCATTCTCTGAATTCTTCAATTTTTTTTTATATTGTAAAATATAGTATATATTTATACATCAATTATTGTAAAAATATAAATTATTGTAAAATATTCCAATTCATTCAAAAATCACAACTGGCTGAAACAGTCTCCAAATATTAACAATGGCTTTTTTTTTTTTGCTGTCTTCCCCTCCCCCAATACAACAGGTGTTGATATTAATATTGTGGAATGTATGTTTTTCTTTCTGTCTCTGACTTCCTTGGGAGCACATAACTGGGTCAAGCAGCATTAAAAATTCAGAAACCTTTCTATTGTACACAATTCCAAATTATGTTCCTGAACTGCTGGACCAATTTACACATATACTATTAGTATAAAGTGTATATGAATTTACATAGCATCACCACCACTGACTTTTTAAACTATTTTTCACAAATTTTATTATTAATTACAAACACTTTCCATGTTTGTATTGATATTTTGTGAGACCTTTTCATATCACCTGCTTAGTTATCAAGTGAAGACCAGTTTTATTTCATACCTATGCCAACAAATGACAGTTTTCCTTTTCTCTGAACTTCTTCTTTCAAGTGAGGACAAAGTCATTCCTGCTGATTTTTCTCTGAACTATACTAATAGTTTCTAATTGGTTTTCCAGCCACAAATCTCTTAGTATTACAATGTATCCTCCACAAATTTGTCAAAGGGACTTTCCTAAAGCACAGGTTGTGACTCTGAATCTCAAAGAAAATATTAACCTCTGGAACTTATTTATCTATTTAAATGATAAATATGTAAATTAGAATAAAATAGCAATAATATGTAAATTAGGATAAAAGCTCCTTAAAGCAGAAACTATATATATGTTAATATATATGTAGCTTTATATTCTGAGCACCTCTCCCTACACCTGGCATATAATAGAAATAAACAGAAAGAATGAAAATAAAAAGTGTCTTAAGCCTATGTGGTATAGTGCATAGAGTGCGAACTTGGATGAAGGAAGAACTGGCTTTCAATCCTGCCTCAGTTCCATGGCCCTGGGTAAGTCACTTGACTTCTCTCAGACTCGGTTTTCTTAATTATTAAATAGAGATAATAATTACACCTATCTCAAAAGTTTGCTGAGAAAGCTAAATGAGAAAAAAAGCACTTTGCAAAATTAATTCTTATTCTTAAGTGCTATAGTCCATATCTCTAACATGAGTGCTGACACAGATGACTTCTGATGTTCTATCCAATTCAAAATTTATAATTTTCCTTTTCTATACCTTTCCTTTCCTCTCCAACACTACTTTGGATGTTCAATAAATATTAGCAAAAATATAAAATCGAAATATGACTTTAAGTTTCAGTATTAAATACATTATTTTACCTGGATCAACAAGAGTTTTATTAAATACTGTTTTTAATTTTTTACTCTTCACATTCCGTCCTTGTACAAGATTTCGGTACATTTCGTAGCCGATGACCATGACACCACCACTGTCTTGCCATTTTTGTAGTAAAATACTTTGATCTTGAGGGCTTTTCATGGTTGCTAATTCAGATACCTTGGTAAAATGCATATCAAATATCAACAGATATTTTTAATCTTAAAGAATACTAATACCAAAATGTTTCAGTAAAATATTACTCAATTTCCTTCAATTAAAAATCCTAAATTATGTATTAAATATATATATTTAAAATACATGCTAAATACTGTTTTTAAAAATCTAAAAATTAAAAAAAAATTATGGCACCTTAAGTTTTTTGTCATCTTCTAATCCCTCTTGCCATTTCTTAAATTCATTTATCCAGTTGAGGGCAGTATTAAGGGGGCAAACCACTAAAGCTGTAGTAAAGTTCAATTTGTCACATAAGAGAACTGTATGAAGAAAAGTGACCACCTAAAAAAAAATCAAGCATTCTTAGTTACAGGATGAAATACACATAACTGAAATCCATAATTTTTAAACTACTTTAGAAATTGTTATAATATCATTGAAAGTTCATTCTTTATTCTGCTTGACTTTTTGTAAAAGCTTGTTTAAAAAAGTAAGGTGGAATTGATTCAGTTTCACATATTATTTTCTTACTCTGACAAACTAGTGGTCAGAATATACACACGTGATTCACAAACCATTTCCATCCGTGATTTCTAATTTATAAAACAGAATCAATTTTCTTTGTGCTATTATTTGGTACTCAACATATACATTGACATTCTAATTAATTTAATTTCCTTAAAGTATTCATGTTTTGAATTTGACCTAATTCAGGCCAATCCCCTGTGTTTTAGATTCATTACTGAAATTGAGTGAAACGCTTTTAACTCTTTCAATAAGGTCATAACACAGGATAAAGAGTAAGATTCCCTCACCAGAGTTGGAGAGTTCTCACAACGAATATCAGACTATCAAGTTTAGCAAGTCTCTGCTACTTGAGGATATACTCAGAAAAGGCATTACTTGAAAAGAATTTGCTAGGACTCCTTCACCTTTTTTCCCAAATACTTTATATAGTATTGGAATTAGCTATTCTTTAAAAATTTGATAGAATTCCCCTGTAAATTTCTTTTTCTGAAATGTGGCTAAGTATTTTATTTTCTTTTCCATTAATCTTGGCAATGTATGTGTATTTTTTATATATGTATATATACATATATATATATATATACACATATATATAAATATATAAATATACATATACATACACATACATGCATACACGTATGTGTATATGTATGTATGTGCATATACATATGTGCACATATATATATATATATATATATATTGGCTAGGCAATGGGGTTAGGTGACTTGTCCAGGGTCACACAGCTAGTAAGTGTTATGTGTTTGACACCACGTTTGAATTCATATCCTCCAGACTACAGGGCCGGTGCTCTAGCTATTGCGCCATCTAGCTGCCCCAGCAATTTATATTTTTGTAACTATCCACTTCACGAAGATTGTCAAACTTATTTGCACACAGGCAAAAATAGTTCCTGGTTATTGTTTTAATTTCCTCCTCACTGGTTCTGAATTCACCCTTTTCTTTTTTGATACTGGTAATTTATTTTGCTTTCTTCTTTCTCTTTTTTAATCAAATTAACTAAAGGTTTATCTATTTTATTGGTTTTTTCATGAAATCAGCTCATAGTTTTATTTATTAGTTCAATAGTTTTCTTAGTTTCAATTTTGTTAATCTCTCCTTTGGTTTTCAAAATTTCCAATTTGGTACTTAATTGGAGACTTTTAATTTGTTGTTTTTCTAGTTTTTTTTTCAGTTGCATGACCAACTTATCGATCTCTTCTTTCTCCATTTTATTCACGTAAGTATTGAGAGATATAAAACTTCCTCTAAGAACCACTTTCAGTGCATCTCAAAAATTTTGATATGTTGTCTCATTATTGTCATTCTCTTGGATGAAGTTATTGATTGTTTCTATGATTTGTTGTTTGACCCACTCATTCTTTAGGATAGATTACTTAGTTTCCAATTAATTTTCAGTCTATTTTTCCATGGCCCTTTATTACTTGTAATTTTATTGCATCATGATCTGAAAAAGATGTATTTAATAGTTTTGCTTTTCTGCATTGGATTGTGAGGTTTTTATGCCTTTAGTACATGGTTAATTTTCGTGTACGTGCCATGTACCGCCAAAAAAATAGTATATTCCTTTCTATGCCTATTCAGTCTTCTCCAGAGGTCACATCTAACTTTTCTAAAATTCTATTCATCTCCTTAATTTCTTTCTTGTTTATTTTATGGTTAAATTTATGTAGTTCTGAGAGAAGGAGATTGAGTTCTCCCATTAGTATAAATTTTCTGTCTATTTCTTCCTGTAACTCATTTAATTTCTCCTCTAACAAAATGGGAATATGGTAAATTTCTGATATCTTCTGAGCCAATCCAATGCAGAATTATAAGAGGGAGCCTTTGGCTGTTATGTTTCCCACCCATGGGGAGAGTGGCATCAGGTATCCTGTTATGATCTCATAGGGACTGAGTTTATGGGAACCAAATGGAAGGGCTTTGGGCCAGGGGATACCTAGCTCCTCAAAGAGTTTAGCAAGGGAGGTTTTAAATAACTCATTAATCTTTTTTTTAAAAAAATATTATGGGTTGATTAGTCATCAAGGTATACAAATACAATGAATAAGAAATGATGAACAGGCTGACTTCAGAAAAATCTGGAAAGACTTGTATGGTCTGATGCTGAGAGAAATGAGCAGAACCAAGAGAACAGCCATGTTGCACGATGACTAATATTGATAAACTTAACCCTTCCCAGCAATACAAGGATCGAAAACATCTCCAGAGACCTCGTGATGGAAAATGCTATCCACATCCAAAGAAAGAACTATGGAAGTTGAATTGCCATTTTTTCCTCTTCTGTTGAGTTTTGTTTCCTCTTTCTGATGGTTCCTCCTATTGGTTTTAATTTTTACTTACACCGCTAATGTGAACATACGTTTAATAGGAATGTAAATGTATAGCCTATATCAGATTGTGTGCTGTCTTGGGGAGGGTGGTAGGGAGGAAGAGGGAGAAAAATTTTAAACTCAAAAGCATATAGAAGTGATTACTGATAAAATAAATTAATAAAATTTTTAAAAAAGACATACAAATACAAGCAAAAACAAAACAAGGATTATATATCAAACCACAAACCTCCATTCTATGCACTTTGTTTCTTTAAAGTGCATATTAACCTGATATCATATTGAACTGATGCTGAGTAAAATGAGTAGAACTGGGAGAACATCATACACAGCAACAGTAACATTATGTGATGGCTAACTTTGACAGCAATACAAGGATCTAAGACAACTCCAAAAGACTTACAGTGGAAAATGCTATTCATATCCAGGGAAAGAACTATGGAGTCTGAATGCAGATGGAAGCAGACTATCTGCTCTCCTTTTCTTTTGTTGTTTTGTTTCTTCTTTCTCCTGGTTTCTCCCCTTAGTTCTAAGTCTTCTTTACATCATGACTAATGTGAAAATAGGCTTAATATGAATGTATAAGTAGAGCCTCTACAAGCTTGCAAGCCTATATCTGATTGCACATCATCTTGGTGGAGGGGGAGAGGGAGAGAGAGAATTTAAAATTCAAAATCTTATGGAAGTGAATGTTGAAAACTAAAAATTAATAAATTGCTAAAGAATTTTTAAAAAAGAAGAGGTATTACTTAGCAATAGCCTGGTTACTCAGGCAAAAAAGGAAGTGATTCAACTAAGACCTCTGATTGTAGCATCAATGAAGTCTTCACAAATGTTTCAGTATCTTTTAAAGAAAAAAAGCCTCAGGGGCAGCTAGGTGGCACAGTGGATAGAGCACCAGCCCAGGAGTCAGGAGGACCTGAGTTCAAATATGACCTCAGACACTTGACACTTACTAGCTGTGTGACCTTGGGCAAGTCACTTAATCCCACTGCCTATCCAAAAAAAGAAAGAAATAAAAAAGAAAAAACAGCATCGCCTGCTGCAAGAAGGGTTTAGGTTATTGATTCTACCCTAATAGGTAGGAAACTTCAGTATTATGTAGCAGTCTTTGATCTTTTTCATTTCCTACCCCTGACCCATGTTTTCTAACTTTTTTCCCCCCATCCTTAGTTATGTTCATGTCACAATAGTTTTCCAAAGATCTGCTGATACGGACTGCTGCCAATAATAATCAACATCACATAGATATAACAAAAACCTGTTTGTTATGCTCTAGCCACTTTCTGTATATAAAAATCAATGAATCCAGTTTCAACAACCTTACATAAACTTTAGTTTACAAACACAGGATGGATTAAAGGGAGTTTTAGAGAAAGCAAAAAGGGAAGGTAAGTATTTAAACATCAAAAAATAGATGGCAGAAGGGGAAAATTATCTCTGATAACAGGTAAAACAGTATATTAGTTATGCAAACTGCTCATAAATGGCTATAAGAAAGTAATGCCGTGGGGCAGCTAGGTGGCGCAGTGGATAGAGCACCAGCCTTGGAATCAGGAGCTCCTGAGTTCAAATCCAACCGCAGACACTTTATACTTACAAGCTGTGTGACCCTGGGCAAGTCACTTAACCCCAATTGCCTCACCAAAAAAGAAAATAATGCCAGAAATTCTCCTACCATGACCAAATATGCATTAAAGTCAACAGTTCCCTAATTTCCCCATCTTAGTCAATTAACAAGCATTTATTAAGGCTTACTATGTACTAAGTGCCAGAAATATAAACAGAAAGACAGTCCTTGGCCTACAGGAGTATACATTCTAATAAGAGAAGACAACAAACAAAGAGGAACTGAAAGGGAAGAAAGTGTGAAGGGCTGCCTGGAAAAGAATGTTGATGTTCCAAAACACAAGGCAGCTAATTGCGCACAGTACACAGAGCACTGGGTCAGGACTCATCTTCCTGAGTTCAAACCTGGCCTCAGACACTTACACTTAGCTGTGTAAGTCACTTCACCCTTTCTGCGTCAGCTTCCTTATTTACAAAATAAGCTGGAAAAGGAAATGGGAAACCAAAAAAATCCCAAATGGGTCATGAAGAGTTGGACACAATTTGGGGGGGGGGAGAAGACTAAACAGCAAACAGTAATATCATAAGCAAATTAATGAAGACTGAGGAAATTTACCTGAGAAATTTATGGATGGGGAAAAATTTATGACCAAATGAGATATAGAGATTCACAGGCAGTACAATGGATAATTTTGATTACATAAAATTTAAACAGCTTCTGAACAAAACTACTGTAGTTAACGTTAGAAGGAAAGCAGAAAACTGGTAGTTTCAGGGGTGGGGGTAGAAATCTTTGCAGCTTCATCGTCTCTAATTTGTAACTGTCTCATAATTGCCCTCTTCCTTCAAATCTATCTTCACTCCAATACATTCTCCACACTGACTCCCCAAGTGATTTTTACTAAATGATAGCCCTCTGACTATATAAATAAATAAACCCAGATGTTTATGTTATTCCTTTGTCTTTAAAGTTCTTCATAACCTTGATCCTTTCTATCTTAACAAAGATGATTCACTTTGCCATACTCTGTGACTTAGCTAAAATAACCAGTCTTTTATTCCTCAATGAACATTTCATCTCATCCCTGTCTCTTTATAGTTTGTTCCTAGCACCTGAAATATGCTCCATTGATTTTCTCAGCTTTTAGTGCCTTTAAGACAAAATCACCTTCCATTTATTTTATATAAATTATCATAATCATTATCAATATTTACTAAGTACTACTCAGCTATCTAAGTGTTTTTCCTAAACTTCAAGTCTACCCACGTCGTTTCTCTTGGCAATAAATTTCAGTGGTTTCCTATCTTATGGATGATGAAATATAAAATTTTCTGATCGGCATTCAAAAGCTTCATAACCTGGTCCCTCTACATCTTTCAGTCTTCTCTTCCTTGTTCTTTCTCCCACAACACACTTCATTTCTCTTCTCCAGGAATTTTTTCTGGTTGTTCGCCATACTGTGAATGCTCTCTTTTCATCTCTGTCCCTGGCTTTCCTGGCTTCCTTGAAGTCTCTTAAAGCTAGTACCATCCTCTCTATAGATTACCCCAAATTTACCAAATACATGTTTTTATCTAATTCAATTGTTTCTTCCATTAGACTATGAGCTCTGTAGGGCAAGAACTGTCTCTTTCTTTTCTTTGTATTCTCAAGCCTACCAAAAGTTCCTACCTTTCAAAAGCTTTACATTCTCAAGGGGATACAGCAAGAGACATGTCCACATGATAATCTTTAAATATATACAAAATGAAAATAGGATTCAAGAGAGTAAAATCTAAAATCTACATTCTTTTAAATAGATTGGAGACAGTGGTCATGAGAATTGAATAGGGTAATAATTACGGAAGCCAGGATGCTATTTGGCTCATTATCAATGAAGATGGGCAAGTAAGGACTCAGAATAATCGCCCGGTGAAAGTCTTGGTCATTAAGAAAGGAATAGCCATAACTCTGAATCAGCAAAAAGTACAAAATGTTTTAGGAAGTTTAATATGTGCCATATTAAATTTCAAGATAATAAGATAACAATATATGACTCATCCCGGATTTTTATGGTATCTTACCTGTAGTGTCTTTCCAAGACCCATACAGTGGGCAAGAATGCATCCTGAGCCTGGTGATTTCTTTCTTTGTATTACAGATTCACAACAGCAATCCCACATAAACTGAACACCTATGTAAAACAAATTAATAAAAGAACCTTAAACTTCATGTAATTTGTTTAAATGAAAATTTCTAATTTTTAACAAGAACTATGGAATAGGACAAGAACTATGTTCCTATTCTCTGAGTCTCCAGGCCTTTGCACATGTTGAATATATAACATATTTTTGGTGAGTTTAAGTTTAAAAAAATTATTAAATTCGTACTTGCTAAAGATAATTTCTATCATTTGTTTCACATATATGTTTATTTAAAGAAATTTAAATGACTGTGTTTAATAGCTCCAATAATTTTCAAATGCTTCAAATGCAAAACAAGACATACTACACACACATCCCACAGACATTTCCCTTTTACCAAAGCATGCAAAGTATAAATTAAATGTGAAAACAACTGAAAAAGAGTTATGCAAACAAGTAATTTAAAACTGTATTTTAAATATATCAATATATACTTACCATCTATTTGATGAGGTTTCAATTTGGTAACCAGGTTTTTATGAATCTGAACCAAGGGTTCTTTGGTGTCTTCATCTTCATCTAAAACAAGTTTGGTTGTTATTGGACACTCAGTAGGTGAAGCATAACTATCTACCACCTGCAAGAAAAAGGGAGAATAACAGTTGACTGTCAGGAAAATTAAAGCAGGAACAATTAATGTAATAAATTCTTTTTATCTTTAGCTAGTATGGATTTAAAAATTTTCTTTTCACTTCAGTTAAACTCATCAAATATTATATTTCTAACATAGGGGAAACTCAGAGAATATGATCATAGCTTCTATCCTCAAGTATCCTATTCTATTAAAGGTAATTAATTGCTTCTGTTTTAAACATTCTGGGTAACTCCAGTTCTATAGGAAAAATTTCCCAGAGAAAAAAGTTAATTCAGGAAATCACAGATTCAGTTGTAAACAACTATTGAGGTCATCAAAGTCACAGTCAGAACTAATGACAAACAAGAAAGAAGTTAATGGCTTGAACAGAGTTTAGACTTTGGGAGAATACTGAATGGATTTGAATAGAAAGGAGTATCACTATTTCTCAGCAGTGCATGTCATATTCACAAAAATTAATCATGTGTTAGGGCATAAATACCTCAAATGCAGAAAAATTAAAGGTTTCTTTTTGACAATAATGAAACAAAAATACTATTTATCAAAAAGGTTGGAAACAAAGATAAAAATTTAATTTAAAAACTAAACTAAATAATTCAATTCTAAAGAATGGATGTCAGGTACCTAGGTGGTGTTGTAGTGCCCAGAGCTCCAGGCCTGAAGTCAGGAAGTCCTGAGTTCAAATCCCATCTGAGATACTTAACAGCTCTATGATCTTGGGCCAAGTCACTTAATCTTGTTTGCCTCAGTTACCTCATCTACAAAAGGAGCTAAAGAAGGAAATGGCAAACCATTCCAGTATCTCTGCCAAGAAATCCTAACTGGGGTTATGAAGAGTGCACAACTGGAAAATGAGTGAACAACCACAAAGAATGGATAATTGAAGAACAAATTACAGAAGCAATCAATAATTGAATTAAAGAGTATGACAACACTGAGACAACATACCAAAATTTGTGGGATGCTGCCAAAACAGTAATTAAAGGAAAATAGGGTCATTCAGCTAATAAGTCCCTGTGGCTGCATTTGAACCCAGTTCTTCCTGACTCCACACTCAGTGCTCTGTGTGCCACCTAGCTGCCTCTCAACTTAACCAAAAAGTGGACTCACTGAAAAACAAAGTCTAAAATTTGGAAGGTGGTTTAGAGAGAGAAACTTAATACGGTTAAGGTTATTTACTAACAAAAATAAATGACCTTTATAACAATTGAAGGGCAAATAATTTGAGAATTCAAAAAAAAAAAGACATACTAGTATCTTTTAGAAACAGGAGGCAAAAGAAAAACAGAAAGAACTCATCAATCACACCCTAAAAGAAACAACAAAATGAAAATGTTTGGGATCATGTTGGCCAAAGCTCAGAGCTTTCAAGTCAAAGAAAAAATGCTACAATTAGCCATAAAGAAAAATACTAAAGGCCCAAAGATAGCAGCTACTTACAGAAAAGATTATATATATACATATATATATATATTATATATGTATGTATGTGTGTGTGTGTATATATATATATTATATATATATATATATACTTTTTTTTTTTTTTGGCGAGACAATGGGGTTAAGTGACTTCTCCAAGGTCACACAGCTAGCAAATGTCAAATGTTTGGTCCGAGGCCGGATTTGAACTCAGGTCCTCCTGACTCCAGGGCTGGTGTTCTATCTACTGTGCCACCCAGCTGCCTCAAGAAAAACTTTTAACATAATGTTTCAGAAAGCAAAATATAAAGGATTTAAATGAGTATAAGTCTACGGGGTAAAAACTGAACCTTTTAACACAGAAGATCATTCAAGCATTCCACATGAAAAATCCAGAAGAAGAATCTTTGAAATCAAAACTCGGGAAACAAGAAAACATTTGAACAATGGAAAGCAGCTTGATTAAGTACGTCAATAAAAGTTAAACAGATAAGAGTCCTTGCAGAAGAAAATTCAGCAAATCTAAAGACTCCAAGAAATGGGCTAAAAATTTTGACAAAAACTCCTAGGGAAATTAGAGAGTAGTCTCTCAGAAATTAAGTTTGGATCAACACTTCACACCATATGCCAAGACAGATTCCAAATGGATACATGTTAAATGGTCACATCATAAAGAAAAATTAGAGGTGCTAGAAAAATTACCTCTTGATAAATATGTGGCCACAGATTCATGATCAAGTCAAGGAAAGAGATAAATACAAATGAGAAAATGTGCAATAAAAAAGTGATCCCAATTGCCCAATCAAGACTAATGTAGTTAAAATTAGAAGAGAAAAAGGAAAAGGAGTTGAGGAGGTGGAATTTTTTAGTAAGTTTCTGTTAAAGGGCTAATTTCAAAAATGAATGAGGAACTGATTCATAGATTTGAATAGTCAATTCTCAAAGGAAAAAATCCAAAGAATAGGAATAGTCCTATGATAAAAATGCTGTTTTCCACTCCACAATAAAGCAAATTGTTTCTCTTTGGCTCTGTTTTTTCCAAATAGATATTCTTCACTTCCAAAATGATATAATATGTACATACAATACAGTTTGAAATTTTTAAAGTATTATGTAATGGAAGATATTATTATCATTAAGATGTATTCCTCGGAGGAGGAAGAAGGGTTTGTCTATAAACTTTTATGTTATCTTTTTGACCGGAAGTCCAGCAATTATTACCTAAACACATCATCAAATTATTATGCATAAGCTCAAAATGATTAGCTATGACTAGGCATATGAAAAGTCATAACATAAGAAAATTAGCACCATACAATAAGGGAAGAAGTCAACTGAGAAAAAAAATATGCTTATATCTGTTATTTCTGATCAGTTTCTAATAGATCAAATGTATAGGGAATTAATTAATACAGATATATAAAACTGATAATCATTCTTCAGTGGTTAAATGGTGAAAGTATACTGAGAGATATAACGAAAATGTTTGTTCCCATAAATTTGGAGCAAACAGCTAGAGAAGTAACTAAGTAAAACAGAATACATTAGGTCTCATGTTTTTCTGACAGAAGTTAATAAGTAGGACAAGGTTAAGCTTAATACACTTATAAACATTAGCTTCTCTACCTCCAGGAGGAGCTAGCACACCTTTTTCTGAACATGGGATGTATGAAGAAGGAGGAATGACATGTCAAGGAGTAATTGTGTAATAGGCGTACCTGAAAGTTGGGCACTCTGGAGTACTCAGCCAATGAGGAAACAGGAGGGACTTTGTGGCCAGGATTAGAGACAGATAGTGAACTCCTGTTTTGGTACGCTCGTCATTGCAACTGTGTAATAAATTGGGCTTTTAACTTCATCCCTCCTGAGTCTGAATGAGTTTTTTCTCACATATACTAACCAAATAATGCTGATAAGAGTTGCATGCTATTAACAACTACTATTAGAAGTCTGGATATTACATACTATTACACAATATTATTAATGCTTCCAGGTAAACTTTAAACTCATTAGATTAGTCTATGCAGACTTGAAGAATTTATGTGTTTTTTTGTTTGTTTGTTTGTTTTTGTTTTTGTTTGTTAGGCAATTGGGGTTAACTGACTTGCCCAGGGTCACACAGCTAGTAAGTATCAAGTGTTTGGTCTGAGGCTGGATTTGAACTCAGGTCCTCCTGACTTAAGGGCTGGTGCTCTATCCAATGCATCACCTAGCTGCCCCCAGAATTTATGATTAACAGGAATTCAAGAAGAATCAACTCTAACATTTAGTAATTATTACCTCTCTTAATTTTTTTCTTTCTTGCTCTCTTTCGTCAAGGCGTTTTCTCCTTCTCTCTTCTTCTTTAAGTGCTTTCTGTGTTTCTCTTAGTAATTTATAGTCTTCAAGGATACTTCTAATTTTCTTTCTACCTTTTCCTGATGACTTTGACTCATCATCTTCAGAACTGCCCTATAATAATTTGAAGTAATCATTAAATATAGGGAAAAAAACACCCAGAATCCAATACAAACTAACAAAAATGAAATCATTATTCGACGCATATAGATTAAGGGTAAGACTTAAGAAGAATACTTTAAATGCACTAAAGTACATGGTAAGAAACAACTATACTATTTTGAGCATCTGCTATGTTTTTAAAAGTATCAAAGATAAATTTACAACAAATGTAGTAATTAATGGGCATCTGATAATCATGTAGGGGCAGCTAGTTAATGCAGTCGATAAAGCACTGGGCCTGGAGTCAGGAAGACTCATCTTCCTGAGTTCAAATCTGGCCTCAGGCACTTATTGGCTGTGTGACCCTAAGAAAGTCACTTCACTATTTGACTCAGTTTCCTCATTTGTAAAATGAGCTGAAGAAGGAAATGGCAAAACCCTTCATGATCTCTGCCCAGAAAACCCCACATGGGGTGACAAAGAGTCAGACGCAACTGAAAAGTGACTGAACAAGAAAAACTAATAAGCATTAAGAAAATAATTCTATGTATAAAAATATAAAAATTACAAAGGTTTATCTATCTAAATGTTATACCTGAAAAGTGTTTTATACTTCATGCTGTAAATGAATGAAGTACAAAACAAATTTAGCACGAATCCTATGATGCACAGTTGTTTGTGAATTTCATAAAATGATAAAAAGGCATGGCAAAAGTCATTTCTTTTAGTATGGCTTCAGAAATATGCATTAGGAATAGCAAACGGTTACAGGATATATTACTAATGATAACAAAGATAATCTATGTTCTAGTACAAAAGCACCTAAATATATCTAGCTGTATTACATTATGTCATAAAATGTAGAATGAATGCATGCGTGTATCTTGGATAAATTAATACATCAGCTTTGAAAATTAATCTTTAGTTTGAACTACAAAAAACCATATACACATGTGTATTTTTAAAAACTGGTACATACACAAAATGCCAGAGAAAGATAATCCATTATTGAAGAGAATAAAGGTTAATGTGTACCTTATCATGTTCGCTTGATAAATTCTCCTGTACTTTGCTATGTTTCCTTTTCTTTTTCCGTTTGTAACTACGTTGATTATTGTCTACCTTACATTTGTTGCTGTTCTGGTGGGAATAAAGATGAAACTGAGTATCATAATAAAATGTAAGTAATCCTAAATCCAATGGAGAATACACACACATACTCTATCACAAATCAATATCTCTATTCTATTACTCTATCACTTATTGTGCAGTCATTTTCTAACCTAGAAATTAAGATCAGACACTGCATTTCTCCAACATGTGGCAGTGTGAGGGATGGCTCACAGTGAAGTTCCCTCATTAGTATCTCCCCTACTCTCTACCTCCCTGCCCCGCTCCTACCTCTCCTCGCACTCTGCCTGAGTGTGAGAGATGGCCTGCAGTGCAGTTCCCACAAGCCTAGCTTCCTTCCTCCAGAAAGCCTTGAATTAAGTTTCCATTTTCCCTGATAAGCTTCTATTTCTCCATCATCACGTCAGCATGGGTGGGGGAGCTCGGTTGCCTGGTTGCTCCTACTTCCTAGTACACATATACATCTAGCCCAAACATGGGCATATTTGCTTCTATTGGGTATTAGCTGCCACGTTTAGAATGCCACCCTGAGTACCCAGTCAAAGGAGAAAGGGGTAAGAGAGTGGAGGGGGCATCGTTAGGGGATAAAAAGCCAAGGGTGCGGCTCCCAACTCCTACTCTCCTGGCTGGCAATGGCAACTAGGGGCAGTACCCTTTCTCATGAGAAAGCGATAAACTCCTTTCTGCTTTCAAGGTATCTAAGTCTTTGTTTTTCTTTTGAGTGTGTGGTCTCTGTCCCACACACAGGGAACCTAGTTGACTCTCATCAACTTCTGTAATTCATATGGACACAAATGAGAAAGGATTATTTCACACATAGAGGTTTAAGTAAAACAACAAAAACAACAAAACAGCAAAATCGATAGCACTCAGCTAAAGCATTACCTTCACTTTCCTTTACATTAACAGCCTTTCTAGTACTCTGCTAAATGATATTGATAATGGACAAACCTATGATCTTTTTTGTTTATAATTTCTTAAACATTTTTTACTTAAAAAGCATTTTTATTAAACTTACCTCTTTCATTGAGTTACAAATAATAACTATGAGGCCCTCAAAACATAGTTGTATAGTCCAGCAAAATAAACTCCCACATTAGCCATATCTCTCCACATTTTATGTTTATTTACTGTCTGGCAGGAAATAAGTGCATTTTCCTTCTTTTAGACACATGTTTATTACTACATTAATAAGAGCTTTAAAAAATTTGAAAGCCGTTTTACCCCACAATGTTATCAATATTCTTCTCTTTTCACTTTACTCTGCATGAGTCTGGAGTCTTCCTATTTTCCTTTGAAATTATTCATGTTTTATGGTACAATAATATTTTATTACATTCATGCACCACAACTTGTTCAGCCAGTTTCCAATAAAAGGACACCCATTAGTTTCCAATTTTTGGCAACCACAAAAAGAGGTACTATAAAAATTTTCACAAGTTGGCAAAAGGAAAGAGTTATCCTAAAAATTTTCTATACATATAGATCATTTCCCTCTTTCATTGTTTCAGGGGAATATGTCAAACAACTGAGTCAAATGATATGTACTTCCAAGACTTTGCTTCCCATTTCAGATCCATCCTTGTCCCTTTGGTGAATTTTTCCTGGAACCTCCATTTTAAGTAAGCAGACACATTTCACTATCCATACTTTGCCATTGTGCCCTTCAACTTCCATCTCTCAGGTTCCTTTTATGAGTCCTCTTTCCTCATAAGAATGTAAGGTCCTTGAGGGTAAGGACTACATTTCTTTCTGTTTTTATTTGAAATACAATACTCAGATTAATAAATACTTTTTGACTGGATTTCTTTACTTGGGCATGGATCTAAATTGCTTTCCAGAATGACTTGGACCAATTCACATTTCTAACAAAAGTGCAATTAATTACAATTATTAAAATTAATGTAGTGATAATGAAAGCTTCAAAAATGTGCAAAGTGTAAATGTTACCTCATTTTCTCACAACAACCGAGTCTAGTATTATTGTCATTTTAGAAATAAGGAAATTAAGGCTGAGGAGGATTGTGTGCTTAAGAGTAGATTTGAACTCAAGTGTTTGAGCTTCAAGTCCTACACTGTAAAATCTAGGTACTCCCTGAGTAGAGAACTTTTTTGCAATGATTTTCCCCTCGTAACAAGAAACAGACAATTTTTGATACTTTATATTTATTTGTAAAAAAAAAAAATTAAATTTTATTCAATCATAAGTATCCATTTTATCCTGTAAGATCCTTTTTATCTTTTCTTTAGCTACAAATTTTTCTCTTAAAAATTGGGAAGGTAATTTCTTTCCTTTCTCTCCAATCCTATATCCAAATTATATTGGTGTAGGGTGTTGATCTAAACCTAATTTTTACAAGTCTATGTATGATCCCTGGGTTTATCAAACGTAATGCTTCTGCCCTGCCTGAGGTCAAGATTTATTTTAACCAAGGTCCTTGTTTGAACTCTGTGATAATATTTATCTTTCATGTGCTTTCATATGTTTCTTGTAAGCAAAAGAATATTTTGTTGCACTTTGTTTTCTAACTTACTTTGCTATTCTCTTCCACTATAGCGACAGTTCACTTGATCTGTATCCACAGATAAGACTGTTAATTGTGCATTTTCTTCCTTCTTTTCTTACATATTTTACTCTCTCTACCTCACCTTTTTTTTTTTTTGAGGCAATCAGGGTTAAATGACAGAGACGCAAAGCTAGTAAGTGTTAGTGTCTGAGGCTGGATTTGAACTCAGGTCCTCCTGACTCCAAGGCCAGAACTTCATCCATTGTGCCACCTAGCTATCCTGTAGAGGGCTGGGTTTAAGTGTCCTACTGGGTTTAAGATCCAGGACAAAGCATGACCTTTGCCCAGGCTTAACCCACAGGGCTCAAGGCAGGGTTCTCTAAATCTCCCCCTGCAAGGGAGGTTCTGGAGACATTCCATCTCATTCTCTGAACCTTAGATTTACTTATCACCCCTCTATGCAGGTGACACCTAGGCACCAGGGAAAAGTCTTGGAGTTTTGCATCCCAATCTAGGAACTCTGATTACAAGAAAATAGGTATTGTCACTTATCAGCAGATGTTCAGGAAGTGTCTCATGGGGATGACTCTTTGTAGGTAGGCTAGATTTTCTCTATATAACCTGTACCCTCAGATGAATAAACTGAGTCAGTCCTTACTGCTTCATCTGGCCCATGTCTCTAAATTATTTCACGCCTTCCCGTTTGGTGCACTATATGATTGCTGGCAACATTTGGCTCCCTGAATAGTGAACAAATTGGAAGTCCGAGGAAGGTGGCTCCCTTGTACTCTGGAGAAAAGAAAATGCGTGGTGGCTACTGCACTGTGGAACAAGGTCCTTGGCAGCTGGACGCTGTGGATTCAAGGTAAAGGGAGCGATGGTCATTACAAATTATCCCTTAGCATTTTTAGGGCAAAAAGGGGAAACCTCGAGGCTTAAGTGGGAGATTAAAAAAAAATAGAAGAAAAAGATTAGAAGAAAAGATTAGAAACAGGCTCGGTAATAGAGCATAAGAATAGAAAGGAAAAGGGGCTAAGCATAAAAAATAGTGTTTCTTTGGAAAGGCCACATGCACTTATTTTCGGCTTTGGGAGGCGAAGTATGGGTCAAACACAAAGCGGAATCATAGACAAAGAATGCTATTAAAACTTTTCAAGGAAAATAGTGACAGAAAGGGGTTTATTTATTACAAATAGTCAACTACAGGAATTTTGGAACATGCAAAAAAT